ACGGGACCCTCGTCTCTCTCATTTGCCATTATATCTCCCGTCCCTAGAATGCTGCCTGGCACATAGTAGATGCTCAGTAAATATTTGTCAGTTGAGTGAGTAGATTCATGGGTTGGTGTGAGATCACAAGGGACAGCCAGGACAGAGTCCTCATTGTGAGGGGGTCAGGAGGGGCTCTGGGGGCAGTAGCTGCGTGTGTAGCTCAGAAAGGAGAAAGTGGTTCTGGGGCCCACCCCTGCCTGCCTGGTTGCTGGTGAGGCTGCAGGGGTGGGGTGACGCCTGTCTCCCCCCTCTTCCGCACTTCCCAGGTGAGCCTTCCCGAGACCAACAGTTCAAGGGAGGCTTAATGGTGGCACAGGCTCGCTGCGCCTCCCCAGTAATGATTTAATCGCTTGTTTAGAATTTCCTGTGGCATTAATGATTATCCCCCAGAACAGAGGAATAATTGGCTGTGTTCTTGCGGTGAGCCAGCTCCCTGTTAGCGGGAGCCGAGCCTGTTCTGTAATCTTCCTCCCTCACCTGCCTGCCACTCACTCACAGGGTGACGGAGATGGATGAGCTCATGTGTGCAGAGGAGCGGGGAGGCCACCTGGAGGCTGCAGAGAGTTGGGGGAGACTGAGAAAGAGATACACAGAAATGCAGAAATGGATGGAGAAGCAGCAAGAGCCAGGCACAGTGAGAGCGGACGGATCCCCAAGCCAGCTCGTAGCATTTGGTTCCCCCAATGGCCTCACTCATCTTGTTGCTTTGCAAACTCTTTTGTGCACAAGTGTGTGCACACTCCTCTGTGGGTGCACACGTGGGCATCTCTAGGGCAAGGATTCTAGAGTGGGGTGCCCAGGCCAGGGGCCTCAGCAGCACCTGGGGATGTGCTGGAAATGTACATTCCCAGGCCCTCCAGTCCTTCGGTGTCAGAAACCGCAGGGGGGTAAAGCCAAGCATGCTAAGGAGCCTTCTAGGTTACACCAAGTCTGTCACACCGAGTTTGAGACACCCTGCGCTAATGTGTGTAGTGCATGGGGATGTGTGAGGTGGATGCATGTGTTGTGTGAACATGGCCATGTGTACACACATGTGGGGTGCCTGTGTGAGCAATCAGGCTGTGTCTCAGCCAGGAAGTTGCTGCGGCAAAGGCCAGAAAAGACTCGGGCAGAAATTAGTCTTCACCAGAGGGCCAGGGCTGGCTGCTGCTTGTGGAGAGTGGCTCAGAGCCAGTTAGTAACTCACCATAGCCACGTGCCCTGAGATGGTCCTAGGACCCCTGCCTGGGAGTTCTGATAGGCCATAAGGAGGCCACTGTCCCTGACAAGTCCTCTATAAAGTAGGGCTGGGAACAGGGTCTTCAGAGAGTGGCTGGCCACAACCCTGACGTCCCAACATGACCAAAAGAGGAACTATATTCTGGCCCCAGTAGGCCAGGGACTTAGGGTCCTTGGGATGGGTTCTGCCTCTCTCTCTGCTGTTGGGTTTGAGGGGGTGAGTTTTCAGGCACCAAGCAGCTTAAGGAGGCCTGTGCAAGGCTAAGGAGAAAGGGATGATCAGCCAGGAACCCCCACACCCACCAGCAGGAGTGGCCAGCCCCACGGCACAGTCAGGGTCTGTGGGTGCTGTTTCTGGGAGTGAGAGGTGGGGGGAGGAGAGAGAGCCTGGAGGGCGGCTTCAGGGTGTGAGATTGCTTCGTGGGGAGAAGAGGGGAGAGGAGGGAACAGGGAGGCAAGAGTGCCTGGGGAAGGAGGGAGCAGAGGAGGAGGACATTGGTAAGTGGAGGCAGAATCTGTGGGAGGGTGGTCAGGCTTGGGAGTAAGGAAGGGAGGGAAAAAGAGGGGCGGAGAGGGTGAAAGAGAAAGAGCGGAGAAGGGAGGAGCTTGGGGTGCAGAGGGGAAGATCCAGAGTTGCAAGGAGGCAGAATAGCGTCAGGAGTGATCCCAAAGGAGTCTATGGGGTGGCTGGTCTGAGGTCACCAGAAAGTTGCAGGGGGGATGGGCCGACAGTAGGGGACATGGGAGCCTCTCCCCAGCCCAGGCTAACCTGAGGGTGGGGGCATGGCCCTGGGATGCATGATGAATTCGAAGCAGTTGAGAAAGCGAGCTGCTTGTTGAGTTTTGTATTTAACTAGACAAATAAATAGAAAGAGTATGAATAATTAGGAAGTAATGAACACCTTGTAAAAATAGCTTTATCTTTTAAAAAAAGATGGCAAAGAAAATACTCAGAAAACCAGAGCATATGCAAATTGTCCATCTTGGACAGGTGAGTGAGCAGCAGGCTAAGGCAGCGCTGACAGCCCAGCCAGGCCTGGGCTTGGGCCGGGGCTTGGGCCTGGGCCTGGGCCAGGCTTGGGGGCATGGGGGAGGCAGGAAGGGGCCAGGCAGCCAAAGCCTGCTGAGAGGGGCTGGGAGGCCAAGCTCATGTGTCTCCCCCACACTTCCCAGTCTGCAGTGTTCTCTGCTCAGGCACGCGGGGTCCAGCTGGGGGAGACGAAGGCAGGCCCCCGTATGATGCTGACCTCAAATGTCGAGGCCCAAGCCCCCATCATCTCTCTTCCTTTAATTACCGCTGGGGACCCATTGTGCATTAATTCTGTGCAACTCTTTCTGAACTCCTTTCTATTTTCAGCTTGCGAAGACCCCTTGGGGGTAACAAATTCCAGAAGTTGGGCAGCAGCTGTGTAAAGCAGGACTTCCCTTCAGAAATCCTAAATTAAGTAACTCCAGCTTTAGAAGGGTCTTCCTTCTTCCGGGCTGATGTTTCCTTATCGGTAATTTGGGGGCTTTCGGTCGACACCACCCATTCCACCCCTCCACTTCGGCATCATGTCCAACAGTCCCTTTGCACCCACATTCCAAATGTTTTGAGCTTTGGGGTCAGACAGGCTTGGGCCCAAATAGTTCTACCACTTTCCAGTTGTGCAACCTTTGTGTGAGTCACTTGGCTTTCAGTGTTTCCGTCTGAAACTATATTCCTAATTTCTTTTTCTTTTTAAAAAGAATTATTTATTATTTTTAAAAATAATTATTCATTTATTTAATTTCATTCATTACTATTATTTTTAAATAATTATTCTATTTAACTTTATTCATTCATATATATGCCACTAGGTCTGGGACTCAAATCACGGTCAGTCATGTGGGTGTGCCTTCACCACCACACCACCTGCTGTTCCCCTATTATTATTATTTTCTAATTTGACCATAGAGAGAGAGAAAGAGAAAGCAAGTGAGCAAGCCGCCAGGTCTGGGATTTGAACCGTGGTTGGTCATGTGGGAATCCAGTGCCCTTAACCACCACGCCACCTGCCAGCCCCCATTATTATTATTATCTTTAATTTGCTATAGGGCATGTGTGCTCACCAGACAAAGACAGAGAGAGAGAAAGAGAGGGAAAGTGAGAAAGCAAGCCTCCACATCCAAGACTCGAACTATGGTCAGCCATGTGGGAGTCCAGAGCCTTAACCATGACACCTGCTGGCCCCTGTACTCCCCATTTCCAAAACTGGTGGGACATGACGTCTGTGAGTAGTCTCCGGTGTTCCCATCACACTGTGCGTGGGAACTCTGTTAGCACACACGTGCCAGGCCCAGGTCTGACGTGGGTTTAGGGCAGTGAGGAAGTCAGGCAGACCGCCTGCCTTCTGGAAGCTTTCATCCCAGGATGGTCGGGAGAGGCCCCCCAAACCAGTGACGACCCCCCCACAGTGACCCCCCAAACCAGTGACGACCGCCCCACAGTGATCCCACAGAGTGACCTGAGAAGAGGACAATCAAAAGGCGGGAGGAGGGGCGCTCAGGGTAGGGCCGCTCTGATCAAGTGACATTTGGGCTGAGACATTGGAGCTGAGGAGCAGTCAGCTAAGGGTGGACCTGGGAGATAAGGATGGATCTGGGGCCCCCCACAGTGACCCCCCAAACCAGTGACGACCGCCCCACAGTGATCCCACAGAGTGACCTGAGAAGAGGACAATCAAAAGGCGGGAGGATGGGCGCTCAGGGTAGGGCCGCTCTGATCAAGTGACATTTGGGCTGAGACATTGGAGCTGAGGAGCAGTCAGCTAAGGGTGGACCTGGGAGATAAGGATGGATCTGGGGGAGGAATTTTGTGATTAGTCTCAGGATTCATAAGTCGTTCAGGGCCACACTTTTTGTACCCTGCATAGGTTCATAGAATTTGACCCCTGCCCTTGGTCCCACTCCCCCTCCTTCTCCGTTTCCCTCCTCTCTGGGCTGTCTTCTGTCTGTTAATGGGCCCCAGGCCTGGGAAAGTGGTGGAGTGAGCGCCTGGGCAGCACGCTGCCTCCTCCCTCCCTCCCACGCTGTCCCTCCCTGGCTCCTCTCTCTGGCTGCCTGGTGATGGATGCCTCCTTCCAGGGCTGAGTCATGTGCGCTCCTTACACGCTCTGGGCAACGTCCCTGTCACTGCTGCGCTCCCCACTCCGCCTCGACTCCCGCCTGTAGAGGCAGATTTATAGGGGGTTTCCCCAGGGACTGCAAGTGCATCTGGCTCCGAAGCTGCAGGAGAAGGGCCCCACTGCTCAGAGACACTCTCAGTGCATAGAGAAGAAAACTAAAGCCTGGCCCTCAAGGGAGAAGGGGCTATGGTGCTGCCACAGGGCAGTGGCTAAGTGGGGCTTTGAACCAGATCTCCAGGCTCTGTCCAGGGCTTTGTCCTGGCCCATGTGGCTGCTTGCTTGCATTTCAGGCTTTAGCTTCTTGAGTTCCAGAGCGAGGTCTGTGCAGCCCCCTCTGAGTAGCCTCCAGCCCCGCGCTTTGTGCCATTAGCCTGCACTGGCAGTGACTGCCGGGAGGCCGTGGCACAGAGGTGCCTTGATGCTGCACGGGGGCTTTGGCTTCGGAGGGAAGAGTGTTACAGTTCAGTGGTGTTCATATTTCGCTGTGCATCAGAATCACTTGGAGGGCTTGTTAAAACAGATTGCCGGCTTCCACCCCCAGAGTTTCCCATTCAAGGGTCTGGTGTAAGGTCTAATCATTTGCATTTCTAACAGATTCCCAGGTGATACGGTGCTGCATCTGAGGACCACACTTTGAGGACCACAGGTGTAATGGATTAGTGCTGTCTGCTATCAGCATGAGAGCGGGGAATTGAGACCAGTACGTATGCACTTGCCATCTCTCTTCTGGTAGGACTGCTGAATCGTTTCGTCATAAGTTGTAAATCCTTATTTCATAAGCAGCTAGAGTAATTTTTTTTTTCAAAATACAAATTTAATCATATAATTTAAAACCCCGGGACTAGTGGATGGCGTAATGGTCATGTTGCTGGACTCCCCTGTAGTCTACCGCGATTCTACCCAGTGGCTTAAAACTCACATCAGGCATGTGCGCACGCGTGCCTAAAATCCTGAGAGGAGAATGGGAGAGAAGGGATCGGCATAGCCATCCCTCTGGGGGGTGATTTCACACTTTCTCTCTCTCTCTCTCTCTCTCTCTCTCTGGCGAGTGCATGTGATCTATAGCAAAAAAAAAAAACCTCTGTAATAAAACCCCTCAAACCCCTTTGAGGACTACCCCAACAGAACATGCCACAGCATGGCCTAAAAAGTCCTACATACTGTGGCCACTGCCACTCCTCAAGCCCATCTTACGGGTCGCGTGACCACCTATGCCTGATTCAGGCCCCTCTCATTGGCTAGCATAGCTTGGGCTGCAGGACATTTGCACATGCCATTTCCCCTCTACCTGGAGTCCTCCTACTGCCAGCTTCTTGCCTAATACACTCCAACTTGTTTATAGATTTCAGGTGTGTCAGTTCTTCAGGGAAACTGTCCCCAACCTCCCGGACCTGGTCAAATTCCTCCATCATGTGTTCTCAGATCCCCGTAAGCCTCTCTTTGGTGTGTTTAGCACATGTAGTTCCATGTGAGTGAAGAAAAATCTCTTTTGTTTGTTCATGACAGTTCGTGCATGTGTATGTATGAGAAAGAGAGAGACAAGTACCCCCCACAGGGTCTGTCACACCCTGGTCCTCTCCCTCCAGTCCTCCAGTCCATTGGATCTCGGGCACTGCGGGCATGCCTGGCATGTTTCAGGATGCCTGGGCTGGGGTCTGAGCTGCGGCCACCACGTGGTGCCCAGCCTCCTGCACAGGGTTACCGCCGTGCCGTGGAGCCAGCTTGTGACGAACACCTGTCTAGCCCACGGGACCACAAGCTCAGGAAGGCTGGAGCCACGTGTTCTTTCCTTAATATTGGCTCCCTGGAGCCTAGCACAGTGCCTGTTTCACCGTAGGGACAGAGGCTCAGTAAATATTTGTAGAAAAAACAAGAGGGAGGACCAGCAGACAGTGTGATGGTTACGTTACTGGACTCCCATGTAGTCAACTGTGGTTTGAGTCCCGGGCTAGACCACTTAAAAAACTTACACCAGGTGCATGTGTGTGCATGCCCAAAATCCTAAGAGGAGAGGGGAGGAAAAGGGATTGCAGTGTAGCCATCTCCCCTGGGGGATTCTTTCTTGCTTTCTCTCTCTGTGTCTCTCTCTGTCTCTCCAATCAGCACATATGCCCTATAGAAAAACTCTCTCTCTAAAATAAATAAATGAATAACAAGCAAGAGTGGAAGATGGTCTGAATTTCTACTGAGCTTATATTTAAGATTTGCCAGAGGGACCGACAGGTGATATGGTTGTTAAGGGCATTGGACTCACACATAACAGACCTCAGTTCGAATCCCAGATGCAGTGACTTGCTTTCTCACTTCCCCTCTCTTTTTCTCACTCTGTCCCTCTCTCGTTATGTTAAAATTATTTAATTCATTCATTAATTAAAGTTCAATAAAATAATTCTTTAAAAAAAAGATTTGCTAGAAGAAAAAGGGAGGATATGGTTAATTAGTTCAAATGTTTCTTAAGCACCCACTGTGTTTAGAGGTATGTAGACTTTTTTTTTAAAAAAAGAGAATTATTCATTTAATTTTATTTGTTAGTATTCATTTATTTTTAATTTCACCAGAGAGAGACAGAGAGAGAAAGAAAGGAAAAGTGAGAAAACAAGCCGCTAGGTCCAGGACTTGAACTGCAGTCAGCCATGTGGGAGTCTAACACCTTAACCACCATGTCACTTGCCAGCCCCCAAGGTATGTGCACTTTAATGCCATGAGATTCCCCTGTGTCAAATAAGAATAAGCTCTAGGTGGCCAGTTAGAAGGGAGAAAAAAAATTCTGAATTTATAGAACTCCCTCTGTGAGCTGGTCTTTTGCTTTCACGTATGCTGTCTCATTGCTTTCTCAGAATAGGTCAGCATTGTACTCACATTTTTTAGAGGAAGAAACAGAGGCTCGGGACCAGCAGGTGGTGTGGTGGTTAAAGTACTGAATACCACATTGCTGACTGCATGGTTCAAGTCCTGCACCCAGTGGCTTAGGAACTCCTGACAGAAGAATGGAGGATAAGGGATTGCAGTGTGGCCAATTCCCCCGGGGGGTGATTTCTCCTTCCCCACCTTCCCCTTCTGTGTCTTTCTCTGGCAAGTGCACATGAGTAGCAAAAACTAAAAAAAAAAAAAAAAAAAAAAAAAAAAAAAAAAAAAAAAAAAAAAAAAAAAAAAAAAAAAAAAAAAAAAAAAAAAAGAGGCCAAGTGCCTAAGGCGCATGAAAAGTCATAATGTGATTCGAGCCATGGAACAGGAGAGAAGCCACAGAACAGTATTCCAGGGCATTGCAAGTGCTGAGGTCCTGAGTGGGAGCGAGCTGGGCATGTTTGAGAGGCAGAAAGCAGGTCCCTAAGTGAGGGAGATGGAAGTGAGTGACTGGGAATGTTGTTTTATTACAGGGTCAGATCCGTGAAGCTCTGCTCAGAGATGAAGGCCAAGGCCAGGCGGTGAGCTGATGACCTAGGGGAGCGGGGCTGCTGGGCTGCTTGGAACTAGGGCCCTACCTGGGCTTGGAGGCGCAGCGACAAACCCAGCCCCACGGAGGGAGGGCTGAATGAAAACCTGCTTGAGGCATTTTTCCAGCCAAGACGCAGGCCCAGGCAGAGCCTGTCTCCTGACAACCCGGTCCCTTGAGAGATTTCCTGGAACCCCGCCCTCCCCAAGTAAAGAGGTGGGCTGTGCCTCTCAGGCATGGTGACAAACAGGTGTTGCTTGGCAGGTGTTTCCGTGACTGGGGGGTGTTTGGAGTTGGGGGCTGAACCCCTCTGTTGGCCTCATTTCTGGGGCTCACGCAGCCCCTCCCTGGGGCAGCCAGACTTGGAGGGGGGATGGGGCTGCCGCAAGTGAGACACAGTGAGGAGCTATTTAAAGCTGCCGGCAGCTCGCCCCTTCTGTTCACGGCTCTGCCGGGTGGGAGCTGCCATCGTCACGCACCCACCGGCGCCTCAGGAACACAGCAGCCCAGCGCACCCACACAGAGACACGTAGGGAGGGTCTTCGTGCACTTCCACAGGCTGGTGGGGTCCTGCGGCTTGTAGGGCAAGGGCTCACAAAGCAGCAGGAGACCCTGGACAGCCCCTCACCCCACCCCATGTTTCCATCTACAGCCCAGAAATGGCCTAAATTTAGGTCCCATCCCCCCCATGTAGCCAATTAGCACTTTCCAAGGGTGTTGGTGGAGGCAGGGGGACCTTTAGGCCCATGTGGGACTGCTTCTTGCACCCTGAAGGCAGTCCTGGACCTTGGGGAAGGTGCTAGGGCGGCACTCCCAAAGTTGAAAGAGCAATCTCCTTCCAGTGTTCAGATCTCTGGCTCCACCACTGTCACCTCCCGGGACCCATGGCAGGCTGCTGTCTCTGGGCGCGCACAAGGTCTGCAGGGGTTAAAAGCAGAAGGCAGGTGGGCTCTGTCTGAATCCAGACTGATGACGTTACCTCTCTGAGTCTCCTCTCTGACATGGGGATAGACATAATGCCTACCTGGTAGACTGTGGTGAAGATTTTGGATTAAAAGCTGACTCCTCTCTGGAGTCAGCGCTCGCTTTTACCTCTATTCTTATCGTCATCGTGACAGTTTGAAGTTGGTCTTCCTTCCCCAAAGCCAGAGGGTCAGGGTGGGCCCTCCAGACGTAGATTGGACATGGACGGAGGTTGAAGGCGCCCGAGAGGGGGAGCAGTGAGTGAACCCGGCCTCGCGTTGACTCCATGTGCTGTCAGTGGCCTGTACACACACTGGCCCCGGGGCACATAGGGGGACTCGCTGTCAAGTCTTTGGCCAGCAATGGCTGTTAGAGACTCCATCCCTGCCCGGATCTGACTCTGACCCCCAGAAGAGCCGCCTCACAGAGCCCAGGCTGAGAAACCACCAGTTTCGTCTCAGGTAAGAATTGCTGATTCAGCCAGACCTAGGTAAGGGGGAACTATGCTCTTCTTTTTTCATTTTATGTTTTTAACCTTAGGGCATGTGTGCTCACCAGAGCAAGACAGAGAGAGAGAGAGGGAAAATGAGAAATCACCCCCTAGGGGGGTTGCCCACATCATAGTCCCTTCTCCATTCTCCTCCCGGAATTTGAGGCATGTATGCACACACACCTGGTGTGATTTTCCAGGCACCATGTCCAGGACTCAGACCGTGGACAGCCACATGGGAGTCCAGTGCCTTAACCACCATGCCACCTGCTAACCCCTGGAACTGGGCTCTTCTTTATGGATCCAACAGACAGGCAGACAGTTCAGAGTCACCGTAGGGCCAGGCCCCAGTAATCAGGAGATATCCTAAATGAGGGGGGGCGGGGAGTAGCCACTCAGACCTGCAGGGGAGAGGAGATGGGAAAGCCTGCGGATGGAGCAGAAAGGCACGGAACAACCAAGCAAGGCAAGGAGCCGAGCGGCCTGCCATGAGGTACAGGCAGGGAGACAGGAAGGGCTGAGCAGAGGGTACTCCCAGAGAGGCCCATCCTATGGCCTTTCATCACAGCCACATTTCTTTATGTATTTAATGCCTCTTCTGACTATCTCCTTCACCCACATCTCCCAACCCTGGGCTCCTCGCATGGCAACCACCACCCCACCCGGAGTCCCCTTCCTCACACCAGTGGCTCCTTCACTTTCACCCGTTTGGGTCCACATCATTGCACCAATGGTGCTGTGACCCCACCCCTCTACTGCCCCTCCCAGGGGCCTCTCCAGGCAGTCCCAGGTCCTCTCCCAGAGCCCCAGGACTCCATCTCCAGCTCAGCTAGCTCCCTTTTCCGGGTCCCCATCACCCACTTCCATCATCATGTTCTGCAGCCAGCCGCCTGGGAGCTGAATCAGAGCCATAGAACTAACATTTTGCACACACGTCTCTCCAGATGACAGGCAAGATGGGCCTTCTGCCCTCAGCCCACACACACCCGTGCTCAGGAAGCACAGAGAGCCAGGCCTGCACCCCACCATAGGGGGAGGATGGCTGGGGGTGGGGGCCCTTCCCCCTCCAGATGACTAGCCTGGCTCTGGCCCCTCCAGCCTTTGCTCAGAGCTTGGGACTCACTATTTAGGGAGCAGAAAAAGAAATGTGAGAGGGAGAAAGACACGGGGACTGCTAGAGGGGTGGCCAGAGAGTTCGTGGCACACAGAGACAGGCACAGGCAGAACAGGGGTGGCAGGGAACAGGGTTGGAGACAGCATGAAGACAGAGACCAAGACAGGGACGAGGGGAGCTCGGGACTAGGAAGAGAGGAAGGAAGAGGCACCGAGGGAAATAACAGGCTCCTTAAGGGATGGAAATACAGAGAAAAGGAGGCCGAGATGAATGAAAGGAAAATGAGCACTCGCAGGAGTGGGCGAGGAGGAAGAAAAGGGGCCCTGAGAGGGGACAGGAGGCGCTTTCCCACGGGGAGAAGCTGCCAGGAGCCAGAGCAAACCCTGAGGAAGAGAAGTCCAGAGAAAGCAGAACTCAGGGCTTCTGCATAAGGGTCCCTGGAGGGTAGAGCACAGGT